TTATGGTTTAATTAAATGTGCAATAAATAATGGTTATTTAACAATAACATCGGTCTGGGTCAATATTTTTTGTCTTGCAGGGAATCATTTTGTTCGTCTTGAAAAGACGAACAAAAATGATGTTAACTTTTTTTCTGTAAAGTCAACCAGACAAAAGTTATAAACGAAAAACGTGAAATTTTACGAAAATCGTACCTTTCATGGCTTATAAACAAAATCGAGGTCAAATTTGACTCTACGGATAAGTCACATTTTACTATATACCATTTTTACTACCTTCTCACAAAAAATCAGCCTGGCCCAAGAATTATACCTCAAATGGCTATTTTTGGGCTAGATTTCCTGGACTATAAAACTAAAGTTACAGTTTATAGAAGACGAAGTGAAATGTACATTAAGTTCTTTACGAGGGAAAATGAATTAGTCTATTGTAATGACATTGAAGGACTTATTAATTCCTATTTAGACAATTTATATAAACCAGAAGATTGGCGATTGTTCATTGATTCTTCCACAGAAAATTTGAAAGCTGTCTTATTGCACAATGGAAATAAATATGCAGCTCTTCCAATCTGTCACTCAACTTCTCTCAAAGAATCATATGAAAACTTTCAATTACTTCTAGATAAGATACAATATAAGACTTACTATATAAATGACTTATTTGTGGAGATTTTAAAGTAATTAATCTTATAGTGGGCCTGCAAACGCGATATACTAATTATCCGTGTTTCCTTTGTTTGTGGAAAAGCCGGAATAGAGAAAATCATTGGAAAACTGAAAACTTGGTCCGAAAGAAAAGAATGGAGAATCAATTTTCAAAATGTTGTTAAAGAAAGCCTTGTTGATAGAAAGAAAATATTGCTACCACCACTTCATATTAAATTAGATTTGATGAAACAATTCGTTAAAGCTCTAGATCCCGAAAGTAAATGCAATAAAGTAAGTGCTGGAAAGTAAATGCTATAAATATATCAAAACAGCATTCCCAAAACTATCTGATGCCAAAGTGAAAGAGGGCATTTTTGTCGGGCCTGATATAAGAAAACTCATGAACGATGTTGAGTTTGAAAAAACTATGACTCCAGTAGAAAAGGCTGCTTGGAGAAGCTTCAAAGATATCACGGAAAATTTTTTAGGAAACAACTGAGATCCTAAATATAAGAGTATAATGGCAACTATATTGAAAAACTATGCAAAACTGAAATGATGAGCCTAAAATTGCATTTTCTCAAATCACATTTAGATTACTTTCCAAGCATTATAACCCTTCTTCTGGGTTGAAAATACTCTAATAAATAAAAAAAAAAAAAAAGATCACTTTCCAGATAATATTGGAGCTTTTAGTGAAGAAATGGGCGAACGGTTTCATCAAGATTTCCATCGAAAAGAACAGCACTATCAAGGTAGATGTGATGAAAAAATGATGGCAGACTATTGTTGGTCATTAAGGAGAGAAGATAATGATCCATCGAGTCATAAACGTAAATCTTTACAAAGATCTTTCGAAATAAAACGGAAACGCTTTCATACAAAACTCAGTAGGTCTGGCATCAAATTCATTGGGAACTAAGCTAATAAAAACGTCTGTACGGCCAACCATTTAAAGTTCATGAAGGCGCCCAAAGTTCTTATGGTTTGAGATTAACCAGTCGTGGGGGTAAGTTTGCCCAGGATTTTTGGGGTTTCATGTAATCGTCGTAAGGAGTAAGATGCACAGATTACTTGAGGTTCAAGTTTTGAAGTTAAGTATGACACCGTCCGTTTTTGAAGTTCAGAGTTGGAGTATAACGTATAGCAGGTTACAGAGTATTCTCACTTTTCCGAAACCTCTTTCTATCTAAGCCTCTAAGTCGCGAACTCGTCGCCGCATCCAAGCTTCCTTGCCGTCCATCGCCCAACGCTCCTGGACACTTTTATCGTTCTTTCTCTTTCTTGCTCTACCCTATTTCTGTTCCTACCTCTCTCGTATATCCTCTTACGGTCCATGGCTAAAAGATCGACGGGTATAACGTCCGCAACCACAAAGATTTAAACACCGACCGATAGGCACTTGCTACCCGCAGGACGCCTCGACTTTAAGCGTCCGCCAGTCTTTCCCGGTGATTTATAGTTCAATAAAAACACCTTAAATTGACATTTATTTATTCACGTAAATTATTGCTAAATACTATTAATTATAGTAACATGTACCAAAAAAAATTTTTAACCAAATGTTAAAAATGATTAAAATCTATTTAGACAGTGATTATAAAAATGACTGTTGACTATTATTAAAAATGATTCCATTTGATTAACAAGCATTGATTCTCATACATATCTATTCATTTAAAGAGCTGTTTTCTTATTGAAAACTATTTTAAACGATTAAAAATCCAACACATTAATAAAAATATAACCACAATAACAAATAGTTTAATATAATAAAAATTTATTAGTATCTGTTCATTCTAGTAGATTTTTTGCTATTACCTATGATTAATTCAATAACTATTCAATAGCATTCATTGGAAAAATCTTAATAATATTTAAAGCTGTTGAAAACTATTCAACATCTGATATATGGGATATTATAAGAAACCATTAACACATGTACAGCTAAATGAGTTTTTTACTATAGAATATTATTGGTTGTTAATTCGTTAATTGGAATGGATTTTAATCCTTGATCTTAATACTACAATTTATAATTCACAACGATTGGAATAATATATGCGATAGAGATGATTGAAATCCATTCAAAACTTTTCATTGAATGGTCATATTATTATTTCAATGTAAATTAATCATAATCTATTGTTTTTAAACATATAGATTTCAATAGATTTCAATAACTTCACATCTTATTCAGATTCTGAAATGGTTTCAATGGTCAATTTTACAATTAATATCGAGGATTAAAAACCGTTCACATATCTTCAATGGTTTTCAATGGATCTTTTTAACAGGGTTGGCATGCAAACAGACATTACCATTCTATATTTTAATAAAACTGCCTTTCATTCAAAATAATTATGTTAATAAAAGATACAACAATAATAACTTTAAAATTCACTGTGTATAACATTTTAATAGACTGTAGAGGTGGTTCTTACGGTGCGTGAAAAACGAAACTTTGCAAGTAAATAAATATTACCAATATGCACAACCAAGGTCTCCATTGACTGCAAAGGTTTTTGTTAATAAAAAGTACACCAGTTTAATCCCACATTTATATAGTCTGGCATGTAAAAATATCCTAAGGGTAAATTTAAGACTAAATCTTGTGCTTAGGATGTATTACTTTTATATTAGCCATTAGAAGCAATAAAAAAAGTAAGTAATCATTTTAATTTTTTTGAACTTTTCATTTTCCAATAATGATACAAACTTCAGACTCATTTAATTTGGAAATTCTTCTGTTTTGAAAATTCTACAATTTATTTAATTTATTTAAATTATGACTTATTTACCACAAACTAACTTACAGCATTAATATTATATTTAGATTTCATTACTTTTAAAACCTGATAAATAATTAATAACAATACGTTATCTTATTATTTAGATGTAAATTACATACGTAAAATTAAATAGAAGAATAATTTAATTTGTACCAAATATAACAATCTTCAAGATATTTAGTACATAATTTATAATAATAATCAATCCAAGGAAAAATGTGAATAAGCTATTGAATTTATCAGATATTGTATTTATAATATTTATGATTATGAAATTTATTACGTACTTATGACATTTTATATATAAATTTTTTTTGTAGTTAATTTATAGCATGAGTAGCGTTTATATATTGATTACTTTCCAATGCTTAGAAACTATATATAAAACAGTAAACTGAGATTAAGGCAAACCATAATAATTCACATATTTTGCATTATATTGACGTTTATTCTATTACATAACTTTGTTTTCCAATAAATTGAGATATTTGATTTGTATATGTATATATATCAAACTATTACAACTATAAATATGTTTTACTCATAATAACAAATGAATTTTATGTTAGCATTTATTATAATAAAAATAGTATTAATAATAATTATTATAATAATCTAAACAATAAATTCACAATTTTATTGGAACATTATTCAATTTAATCAAAATAATATACATTTAATTTTAGAAAATAGTATGCTAAGCAATTTTCACCTTCTTAGAACTATTCATGAATTTTATTAAAATTGATATAATTTGATATTTTTGTGTAATCTTTTTTAGTCTTTTTGTAATCTTATAATAAAGCATAAGATTATATAAACTTTAACAAGAACCAATGGATTTAATTTATCAAAAGTAGAAAACAAGTATAATTTTCATTTTGCTATTATATTCAAAAAATTTTACATCAATATTCCTCAGTTTATTTTAATAACTATATTTATATTTGTTTAAAGAAGATTCAATATATTATCAATGTCCAATTTGGTGTAAAATTTAAATTTAACACATGGAGAATATTTATCGGTTTAATGGCAATTATTTAATAAAGTAACAGCTTATTAAAATTAAGACATAATTCAAAATTAAATCAAATAGTATTTTTTATATTTATCATTTTATTTATTTTCATGGTGGTCATATACGTATCTATACTTAATATTGTACGTATAATTATTAAATTAAAAACTGTCTGTATGTAAAAACAAAGTTCATTTTTCTATAGGATAAAAATCTTGCTGTAAATACATATATGCATAAATGTTCATGTCTTTTTATTAGATAATTGCCTACACGCGCGCGCGCGCGCACACAAACACACACACACACACACACACACGTGTGTATATATATATATATATATATACATGTACGCATGTACAATTTTCTTAAAATTCAATTCGAAAGTAATTCTAACTTTAATTTAATATTACGCATACTGCATGATTAGGTTCAATAACTTGTTTTTCAAATAATCTGCTACCTACTATGTACACAAGAAGAAAATTTCAATTTAGGTGATAAATAAATAATACATATTATATATGTAACTTTACTTTATCGTCTTCGTAATCTGTATTTTCAATTTTACTGCTATAAATAGTTTCAAATGACTTTGAAAAGTTGTTTCCACTTTCTTGATTCATTTTTGGAATTTACGATCAAGTCGCACCTCAGCTCAACATAATCACACACCGTGTGTGCACATCAGGAAGTAAGAGAGAAGGAGACCCCACTCATACGGCCGGCCAACAGAAATCTGGGACGTTTTCACCGGCAAAGATCGCCAGGCTCGCTCATCGGAATAGCTGACACTAGCTAGCGTCAGACCCATCTAGCGACTACCATTCGTACTGCGTACTAGGTTAATTTTATCTACCGTTCCCTGTCAACTAACATGCAACAACGTATATGAAATTATGCTTTAAAACTGTGCTTAATTATGTTGACGATATGATTTGAGTTGACATAAGTGATAAGTCAGCTATCAAGAGACTCAAATTCCAAATACTATAACCATAAACTTAATCACAAGCCCCTCTCGGCAACTTAAATATAACTTTTGACATTTATACAGTGATATAAGCACGTTAGCCGAGAGGCTAAGGTTTCTGCTTTGAATTGTTAGGATTGCCGGTTTGAATCCTAGAGATGAATTTTTTTTTCGTCACTATGGAGAATTTTGGAATCATATAAATACGTAAAACTAAATTAAAAATGCAAATAACATATAACTATTGATTCTGTGTTTAAATGATAAAGCACATACAAATGATATTTTTTGAAGATGATATTTAAAAAAAATTAGCATAGACTTTCACCATTTTTTCCTGTACCTATTCCAAATATAAAATGATAGAAAACGTCCATGAACATTTGAAGAGTTTACTGGGGCATTTGTCAGTAATACCACTCGATAAGTCTCTCTAGAATCCCTGGAAATTATTTTACTAAATACCAAATTGTATTGTTACGTCTACGCCAAATGACGTTTAGGCGCGAAGTTCAAAGCGGATAGGTAGTGTTTTAGGACTAAATATGAGAACTGCGAACGTATGTGATAGATAGAACAAAGATAGAAAGATGCGCGTGTGTAGCGTAATTGACAGTTTAAATATATTCTTACTTTGATCATTGTTATTCCATGCTGAATCCGAATCTGCAATTAAAAAATAGCCTTTCCCTGCATATTTTGAGGTTCATGATGATAAACCTCATTTTTTAAGGTTTTTTGAGGGTTTTTCGAAATTAAAAATTAAAAATAGTGAAAATAAAATTATTTTGGCTACAGAATTGAATTCTACGAGAAACAATACGTCAAAAACTATGTCTTGAATATATTTTTAACTATTTTTCAACCCCTCATACTGATTGTGAGTTGAAACTACTCAAAAACAGAAAAATCTGAAATTCATGCTAAATTAGATTCGAAATTGATTGAAATTTGATTCTGTCACTTCAAAATAATTATTAAGCAATATAAATGGTATATTGAGCGTTTTGAGATTGTTTATCATAAATTTGATCAGATCTTTAAAAGACTACTTCCAGGAGACGTTAACTAGTAACATATGAGATAAACTTAATGATTTTTAATAAAACTTTAATTTACCTTGTCCTGATTTGAACTGACTTGATTTATTATTGTGTAACATGAGCCACATACAATCCCGATTAGCTCAAAACGGTTTAAACACGTCTTAAAAACGTTTTCTGGTAAACTTTTAAACGGTGATGACTTTTAGTGAAAAAAAAAGTTTTTAAAACGTTTTTAAAACGTAATATATGAAAACGCTTCAAAAACGTTTTAAAAATGTTTTTCATAAGAATTTATACAATAGGCCGGTATCACAATACTTTTTGAAACCGATTTACAAACGTTTTAAAACAGGTGTCACAACGTCTTATCAAAAATTTCTATAATAGGCTGGTATCAGAATACATTTTAGAAACGTTTTTATAAGGTTTGCCAGTATACAATGAACTATTATAATACGTTCTGAAAACGATTTAAAAACGTTTTGAAAATGTTTTGAAAACGTTTTAAAAACGTTCTCCCAAAGAAATGTATAGGCTAATAACACAATGCGTTTTGACAACGTTTTGGAAACGTTATTAAACTGTTTTTCAGAAAAATTTATACAGTAGTCTGGTAACACAATACGTTTTAAAAATGATTTGAAAACGTTTCAAGCAGAATATCTAAAGACTAGTATCTGATCAATGCGTTTTGAAAACGTATTCTTATATTTGTTGAAAGATTTGTGAAACGCTTAGCGCTTAATTTAACGACCTCTTAATGAAATATTTTCATGATTAATATTTAAATTGTGATATTTAAATATTTAAATGTGATTGATATGTTTAAATGTTCCCAAGATTTTGAAAACTACGTTTAAATATATAGTTTAGAGTATCTTAGATGCTTCAAAATTAATTGTTATCATTCAAAGAATTTTTCGAAAAGCTCTATCAAAGTTAATTTTATAATCATTAATTGTACTTGATCTTTTTTATTATTTATTGTTATTAAAGTGTCAAATATAATTATTATTACGAAACATAATTCATATTTCATGTACAATCTGTAATGAGTTAGTGTTAATTTCAGTCGATAAAGTCCCCACCGTTATCTATTTTATAATTTGTTTTGGGCGAATCACCATACCGCCTCGTTATATTTTATATCTACGTATATCCTCCGTGGTAGTCGTTTCCGGAGCACTTGGGCATGGCACATCAAAAACCGACGTGCGACCAAGTTGAAACTCGTGAAACCAATTTTTAACGGTCGCCATCGAAGGAGAAGAGTCACCGTACACAGCACCCAAGCGCTTTTTGATTTCGCTGCGCGATTTGTTACCTGCTTTAATTATCGCGGCTATCTGACTCTTAAATTTTGAAATAATAATACCAATAACGATTACAAAAATGCTCACTTATCATATTTGTAGAAATAAAAGCATCAAAAGAAATTCGATAATGGCTTTGATACAAAAGAAACAAACTGCAGTTTAAAAACAAAAGAAATTATTTTACGTTGTAAAAATGAACTGAATAAAATTAAAATCATGACCAATAAAAAATATCAATGAATATTAGTACGTACATAGATTGCATTTCTTAAAAACAAATAAATGGACAAATATATATGTTATCGATTTCGTTCATATAGAATTGCTGATTGTTTTCATTAGCATCCAACGCCCACCAGTACTTTGAATATAAATATTGTGAAATCTATGAATGTGAGAACACTAGAAATTGTAACAATCAATCAAAGCAAATATGTGAAGATTCTGTTGAAACATAAATTCATTGTAGCTCCACTTATCCATACATATAATAAATTTAAATATACAAAGCCATGAAGCTCCTTGACCTTATAGATTCTTGGAGCATTCAAAAGTAGCAGTTGACTTAGGTAGAAAATCTGATATTTTAATTTCAAGAGATCAATAATTCTTAATTGATAAATATTGATAAAGATAGTGTTTCAAGAGAGCAACGACGCCATTTATCATAGAATCAATCATAAGGTTACAAAAGAAGTTTGATCTACACTTTATAATATTATTTATCAAATAACTCTACTCGCAATGTACAGCTCATAACTAAACGAAAGCGTATGTTATGTTTATTACAAAATGAAAACGTATGTTATGTTAAATTGGCACAAAAATACGACTGTTAACTTTTACAAACTATTACAAATAAATACCTTGGAGTAACTTACTACTAATTATTTAGCACATATTTCAAATTATTTTGGAGAAACGCTACTTATGTCAATTAAGTCATAACATGTTTAAAATATTGTAACGAGCGTCGATTTAATAGTGCCGTTATTCAGCTTGCACGCGGATCATTGTATTTAGGAGAGATCGGCAAAATGAGTTATTGGGTTATTAGTAGTTTACAAGATATAATTATTTAAAAATCTCACAGTACAAAAAAGTTGTATAACAATATCTCGGTAACCAAGAGACACGGTATTTTATTAACAACGGATTCGTAACGCGCCAATCGCCAGGAATTTTTTGGTATTTGTGTTGCTAATTTTCCGAATATAAGTATGTTAGGGTCAAGGAGCTGTAATTAATCAAAATCACAAGCTTGCTCTTTTAATATTTGATTGAGTTCCGAGAAGAGAAAATAGTAAAAAGAAAGAAAAGAAAAAATCCAAAATACTCTCCGAGTATGAAAATACTGGTTATAAAGGAAAAGGTTGCAGCTACCCGTTGCAATCCATTCATCCTTAGTCTCTGTCCATGTTTTCTTTGTGACGAGGACTACGATTTGATAATAACCGGTCCTGTCTTGCTATTCGCTCTCTCTCTCTCTCTCTCTCTCTCTCTCTCTTTCTCTGTGGTCTGGTTGTGTTATCATCGCTCTCCACAGCGGCGGCTGGATTTCCGTGCTCATCGCACCTGTGTGAGTTGGATGTTTTGCGGGTTTTTCCGGTCTCCCGCGGGCTCCACGTGCCAGAAGTGTCAACTGCTGGACTCCTATAAAGGAGCCAGGGAGTCCATGAAAGCAAGTGCTACACCGGAGAGAGGTTAGAATATCTGTGCAGTTTTTCGCTAATTTTGGCGCAAATTTCGACACCTCAGCGCCTACGCCAGCGTCAACAGCGCCGCTACAGCAATCCCCGCCAAATTCAAATTGGAATTTTCGCTTGAGCAACATGAGCGAAACTAAGTGTGCTGTTTGCGGGGACACTGCAAACAGAAAATTAAAAAAACGGCACAGTCTGCCAACAACCTAGGCACAGCAAGTGTGCTGGAAATAAAAAGGACGGCCCCTGCAACAATTGCTGAGTCAACTCGCTAAAGCCACCGACAACAGCAGAAACAGCGAATATCACAATGCGCAAATCGACGGTGGGAAGTGTGAGTGCTGTGCCCATTCAACCTACTACCAAAACTCAGGTGAGCAAGTTATGCGCTAACACGATTAAGAGCGTGCCAATCAATCGCCGCTCTAGCGCTCTTAGTACACTCTCACCTTTGAATGGGCGCGGCTTATCGACGAAGCGCTCACCTAAGCCGCCGAGTCTACTAGCTAGCGCAGAGCAGAAGGCAGAAGCACCGGTTGCAGGTGTGAGGGCGCTGACCGATTCTCTTGACTCGTCAGATCGGGCTGCCGCACAGTGTACTATTTTGATAAAATGAGGGACAAAATCAATTATCTTACGATTGATATTAAATTTGAATTAAAAGAAAAAA